ATTGTAGGAATGATAGGGTAAACACAATATTGTAGGAATGATATGGTGAACGTGATATGGTTTGGAATGATAGGTTGAACGCGATATTGTATGAATGATAGGGTGAACACGATATTGTAGGAATGATAGAGTGAACGTGATATGGTGGGAATGATAGGCTGAACGCGATATTGTAGGAATGATAGGGTTAACACGATATTATATGAGCGAGAGGATGAACGCGATATTGTAGCAGTGTGAGGGTGAACGCGATATTGGAGGAGGGAAAGGATGAACGCGATATTGTAGCAGTGTGAGGGTGAACGCGATATCATAGGAGCGAGAGGATGAACGCGATATTGTAGTAGTAAGAGGATGAACGCGATATTTGAGGAGTGAAAGGATAAACGCGATGTCGTAGGAGCGAGAAGGTGAACGCGATATCGTAGGAGCGAGAGGATAAACGCGATGTTATAGGAGCGAGAGAGTGAACGCGATATCGTAGGAGCGGGAAGGTGAACGCGATATCGTAGGAGCGAGAAGGTGAACGCGATATCGTAGGAGCGAGAAGGTGAACGCGATACCGTAGGAGCGAGAAGGTGAACGCGATATCGTAGGAGCGAGAAGGTGAACGCGATACCGTAGGAGCGAGAAGGTGAACGCGATATGTTGGATTCTTTGAGGAAATGAGGGAGTGAATGCGATAATACATTATTAAGCGAAAGAAGGAGACAAGATTGATTGACCGATTGGACGAAAACGATATTGTAGCTAGCGAGTAACTGTACGTTATAGCAAGGGCTTGAAGGCTTAAGGTGGCTCCACACTTTCGCAATTAACCAGCAAAATTCGTTGAAACTTTCATATAATGGTTATGCAACTATGTAGAGTTAATTTTATGAAAATCTAAACATTCCGATAGTTTGGTGGATTTTTTGGAAAAAATACCAAAAAATTGAATTTTCGCCACTTTTAATATTTTCCGGTTTTTTTTGTGTGTGGCATTGTTCGGAACAATAAAAACAATAAAAAAATGAAAAGAAGCATTTATAATTAATCCTACAAATATTTTATTTATC